TTGAATTGACCATCAGTGGCAAGAGCTTAAACAATCATGCCTGAGTAAAGAAGCCTCCACAAACTTGAAAAGACGGAATTTGCAGAGCTCCTGGGTGGCTGCCCACAGGGAAGGAAGGTCCTGGAGGGTGGTACAGCTGGAGACGGAGGAGGAACTCCATCCACGGTCCTCCCGTCTCACCCATTCATTTCCTTCACAATGTCTTTATAAGAAACAGCCAATAAAGTATTTCTGAGTTCTGTGCATTGCTACACCATGGCAGTTGTAGCCTGAAGAAAGCTCACAAAACCCTGATTTATAGTTGCTTGGTCAGAAGCCTGGGCCAGCAACCTGGGGCCAGCAACCTAGGGCCTGTGGTTGCCTTGGGAGAGGGGTCAGTACCTGACAGTACCTCCAGGTAGAGAGTCAGGACTGAGCTGAACCAGAGGACACCACTGCAGAGCCGCTGGCCCACTGGGTGTCAGGGACACTACCCCCACGATTGGTCACAGAGGTCTTCTGAGCTGACTGTGAGTACTGACAGTGTCTTGTCCCTCGATATTCCTACAAGAGGCACTCTACTGCCTGTAAGCACGGAAGTGATCTGTCTGGTGCTACTTGGTCCCATGAGCAGTAGAGACTGGGTATGCAGAACTCCCAGGGCACCTTCCTGCAGTAATTTCAAGGGCAACTTTTACTGTAAACGAGGCTGGTGCTGACTTTGGAACCTCGGCCCCTGTCCTGACAGGCCCTGCTGCGAGTGCTTCTGAAAACCCACGGGCAGCGGGGAATGAAGGCCCGTGGCAGGCAGGCGTGGGTGAGGGCGACACCTGGCTTCTGCCTGCCGGGCATTTGTTGCTCCTAGTTTTTCCTTTGGGGAGGTGACTCTTCCGCAGCATCGAGTTCAGGAGGCTTCTGACTCTCCACACTAAGGGCAAAAGGCCCGCGATTGCTGAGCATTTCCGGATGAGCCTTCCCGCCAAGGCTGCAGAGGCGAGTACAGTGATGTGGAGGCACCAGTCGCACAGCCCGAGCGTCTGGTCCATGGAGGGGCCCATAACCAGCACACTGTCACCCAGTTGAGCCTGGGACTGTGTGAGAACCACTGGCTTCTTTTTGCCGGAAAATGCTGGTAAGATGGAAGCTTGAAGCCACTTGGCGACTGAGTCAACACAGAAGAAAAGCCTCGTTCAGAGCCCAAGAGAGGCTGGCCCAATGCCCGAGAGAGGTGCTCCACGCAGCCCCAAGGTGGACAGTATACTTGTAATTGTGTGAGCCAACGGATTCCCTGTGGGGGCAGGAGGCAAGTGAGCGAGGTCACTTCCACTGTGATCAAGAGTCCTG